GAAAATACATCCTGCACTATTTCAAACAGAAAACAGTGTTTTGTTTTGTTTTTTGTTTTTAAAAATGGAACTGTCTTGAGCGGTTCAGAGCTGAGGCAGAAGAGTTTTGTTCCATTCTAGTGAGACATTTGTTAAGTGAGTTTTGCCCCATTTTACGACCTTGCTTGCCACAGTTGTTAAGTGAATCATTGCAGATGTTAAGTTAGTAATATGATTGTTAAGTGGAACAACCTGCCTCCAGAAGCTGTGAATGCTCCAACACTGGAAGTTTTTAAGAAGAGACTGGACAGCCATTTGTCTGAAATGGTATAGGATTTCCTGCCTGAGCAGGGGGTTGGACTAGATGACCTCCAAGATACCTTCCAACTTTATTATTATTATTATATTAATCTGGCTTCCCCATTGACTTTGCTTGTCAGAAGGTTTCAAAAGGGGATCACATGACCCCGGGACACTGCGACCATCATAAATATGAACCAGGTGCCAAGCATCTGAATTTTGATCACGTGATCGAAGGGTTGCTACAATCTTGTAACTGTGAAAAATGGTCATAAGTCATTTTTTCCAGTGCCATTATAACTTTGAATGGTCACTAAATGAACTGGTGTAAGTTGAGCACGACCTGTACAGTTTCTGTGGACCTACTGAGAACTATAGGTGCAAAAGAACAATCTGTTGTGTTCTGTTTTGATTCTTGTGGCACTAGTCCAGGGGTAGGCAACCTTGGCTCTTTTATGACTCGTGGACTTCAACTCCCAGAATTCCTGAGCCAGCATGGCTCAGCTTGGAAACGCTCCCTTTCTCCTCAGCATGGCTGGCTCAGGAATTCTGGGAGTTGAAGTCCACGAGTCATAAAAGAGCCGAGGTTGCCTACCCCTGCACTAGACTAACCTGGAACCGTAAGGGGTAAAAAAAAAAAAAGAAAAGGGCTGAATTAATATCCAAGGGGAGTGGGGTGGGGGTGGAGGCATGCATGTGTGCAAACTTGGAAACGGGGAGTAACGAGAAGGGAACAATCCCAAAAAAGGAAGAGGCAGGTGTGAGAGACTTGTCCACCTAGGAGCCAGCCAGCAAAGCTTGGCTTCTCCAAATTTCGTTGAGAGATTGAGGAGGCTGCCTAGTGCAGGGGTATTCACTATACAAATTAGGGTCATTAATATGGTCTATGATGATTTTAATTTCATTTTATACTAGCTGTACCCGGCCACGCGTTGCTGTGGCTCAGTCTGGTAAAAGCGTGTGTTGCTTTTACGCCCAACAGATGGCGCTGTTTTTCAAAAAAAGCATGTTTTTACCTGTCACAGGTGTGACATCTACATAATATAGGTATATAAAAACACGTGCGTATTCGAATGCAATGTTGTGCCAAAATTCCAAAGCACTCGGTGAAGACCTTTTGGAGATTTAAGATTTTGAACAAACGAACATTTACATTTTTATTTATATAGATAGATTGGTTCCTGGATTGGGTCTCTTCATTGTGGTTTGTGTTTTTTCATCTTATTTATTTATTTATTTTGATTTATATCCCGCCCTTCTCCCAACGGGACAGCCAGCTTCTCATACCTAACACAGTTGTAATTTAGAGAACGGAGGACCGAATATGACATACAAACCTTTGAAGATGCAGGTGGCTAACGTCCTGTCTCTTCCATGCTCCAAGTCCATATATCAGTGATGGCGAACCTTTTAGAGACCGAGTGCCCAAACTGCAACCCAAAACCCACTTATGCATCGTCGAGTGCCGGGTGGGTGTGGCCCATTGGCTGGGTGTGGCCCATTGGGTGGGCGTGGCTGCGGTGGTAACAGCAGACTGGGTGGGACTAAAAAGTTCAATCAATCAATTCCAACTTTCCAAGCAGCAACTTTTTTTTCCCGCGAGAAGTTGAAATTGACTGATTGATTGAACTTTTTTTTGTGTACACGATGGCGGAGGCCTAAAGCAAAAGGTTTTATAAAACCCAGCTGAAGGCCTAGGACTGGGGCGACGGCGCGCGTGCCCACAGAGAGGGCTCTGAGTGCCGCCTCTGGCACCCGTGCCATAGGTTCGCCACCACTGCCATATATCCTGAACATGGGCTATGCTGACTGGAGCTAATAAGGTTTTCAACTTAAACATTGTTTCTGGTGGGCTCTTTTGGAAAAGGCCTCCAGAGGGATGGGCAAGCAAGATCTGATCAGGAATATTAATAGGTTTTCAGAGCAAGAGAGGCTTGCAGTACAATGAGCTTTCTCAGTGTCCAGTCACTGCCGTCCATTCCAATCCTGCTTCCCTGGCCTTATGTTTTCTCTCATTCTTTTAAATCCAGCAAGATTCCGCCCCAGTTTTTCCACCTCTTGATAGGATGGATAGTTTTTGAATGATTTACATTTTGAATAGTTTTTTTAAAATTTTTAATCCAATTTTTACACCACCTGACTCCCAGAGACTGGTGTGATTTAGTTTGCCTTTGCATCTATATAACTTCAGCCTGTTCAATCTAACTGCTACCCCATATGTTAAAACTAATTAGACTTGAACAAATCCTTCCACTCACAATTACATTTCACAATGCAGTGGAAATTGTGGCAGGCCATGGGGCTTTCCTTTAGTACTCGTGGATTCTTATAAGAGACATTTAAAATGCATAGTAACCAGATTTCATTTTTTTAAATCTGGAATGCAAGTATTATGCAAGTGTTGGAAAGGCAGAATATAATTATCTATATTTATCTTTTAACTGAAAGCTATTCCACTTGTTGCCAGAGAGCTACTTCAGTGCTTTGATAAACTGGGCAGGAAAGAGTTTCCTGAGTACGTTTACTTTTCATGCCGGCATTGCTATTGAAATTGCAAAATTGATCACTCAGCCATGATTATTTCCTATGGATATTAGTGGAAAAACATGATATGCACATGGATTGCAATCTGTACATTACCTCTATATTTTCTTAGCATATGAAAATATATTAATCAACCAAATCTCACTTTTAAAAGGTTGTATTGGGGATGGCTTTCTTACCTAATTTTTTTTTTCAAAAACTTGAGCTGTGAGAAATTAATGTAAGCAAATACATCAGTGTCTGTCATCTATCTGTCTATCTATATTGTGTGCGTGCGTGCGTGCGCACTTCAGTATAAAATATGAAATGTTTGGATGCCTGCACCTAACCACAGTCTTGTATGTTTCGCAGATGAATCAGCAAATGGCTGGAATGACTCTGAATAGTTCCAATAATATGATGGGCTTTGGCCAACCACCAAACACAATGGCAGGATGGACTGGAAGTTCCTCGGGCCAAACCCTCAGTACACAACTCTGGAAGTGAAAAGGCAATAGAAGTTTAAATCAAGAGACCCGACATTCCATGCCCGAATACATCTAGTTTCCCTGTTCTGCTCATGTACACTACCCCTTCCTCCAATTTCAAACATTCATTTTAAAAGTAATCTTAACTGACCGTGTTGTGGTCTGTACTGACTTCAATTCTGATGTAGTGAAAAGCAAGTTGAATACATTGGCAGCTTTCTTCATTCCACAATATGTTTTGATTTTGCAAATTTTACTTTTCAGAAAAGCCACGTGACCAACTGCATACTCAAATTATTTTATCTTGTAGAGCATTTGTTTCCATATAAGGGAAATAGGTATCATGTTAGTGCTATCTCTAAAATGTAAACTCCATCTTGCAAATTACCCAGTGATCCTGTAGAAGGTACTGTATGAACAAAACGTTAATTATATAAATAAGAATGTACCTTGTATCATTGAAATATGCATTTCCTTGTGTGATAATGATTTTGTTTCATCATTCATTTCACTGTGATATTATAATGGTGTGATGAGCAGGGAAAATGGCTCACAAGAGAGAGATAAAACCTGGAGGGAACTGCTACTCCATCAATTTTCTTTCCACTGTTTTGAGTTGTCTCTGTCAAACGAAGCTGGTTTGACCAACAGAGAACTGTACAGGATTAATCAGCAGTGTACTGCACAGCATCTATACAGGGTAACTCAAATTATATATTTAATTTTGTCATTGCAGTTGTATCCAGGTTTCTGCCAGTAAATTGTGTTTACATTTTATGGTGCCTCATATTGATAAGCAGTTGCTTCCCTATATTAAAGAAATCCATAAACATTGTGTAATTATTTTATTCTATAAGAATTGTGTCTATTCTTAAAAACAATGCTTTTTAAATTCAGGAATAAACCTGGAAGCCACGCCGTAAACGCTTCTCATTTTTTTTAGACTAATAACTTCAGTGCATTACCGCCTCTTCACTGAACATGTGTAAAGGAAATGTGAACAGTTAGAAAATTAAAGCAGGACAGAGAAATGCATGCAAAGTAAGTGAAGCCTAAGTAGACACGTCTTCAGCTATCTGCCAGTAGTCTTCCATTAGGCTGCTAGAGGCTGCAGTTGTACAACAGCAATTTGTACAGTCTGAATATGGTAAGCATGTCTGATGCATCCATTAATTATGGCATATCCCATTTGTGCTGACAGATCACACTTCAATTCTGATATTGTCCAGGTGATACTTTGGCTCATTAGCTAGATTTACCTTTTCTGTTCTAGTATGCCATACGAGAACCTGGAAAAAGTTGGAACAAAAACATTAGTTGGCATTGATTCTCCACAAGTTGAGTTGGAGACTAATGGCCATTGTAGAAATAACATTGATACCTTTGTGCAGTTGCTGGCTTTGGGCTCCAGTTCCTCCATTGTGGTAATCTGCCTCAGAAAGTCAGATTCCTGCATCCCAGGTTGTGTCCCGTGGCGTCTAAATACAGCTTTGGGGTTGGATAAAATCACCTGAAGACTTACAGCAAACCCTTTGGAAATCAAATAATAATTAAAATCATTTTATAAACATTTTATTGAACTCTAGAATTAATGGGGGGGGAGTGTTTAACCCTACCATTTCAAATACGTTCCCAAGTATTTACTCAGTATCACACAATGGTCTATCATATTGTTACATATGCAAACTGACTGGCCACTTTTGTTCTGAAAAGTTACAAGCTGTGTTCTTCCATATCTGTTTAAAACTTTACATGGTTTGTTAAAGTATAAATAGTGACATTCATCATAAGCAGTTAGAGTTTCCATATGAGCAAAAGGCTGGCTGGAGGGGAAATGTGAATTTTAAAAAGATGAGACCAACCAATGATTCTTCCCTGACACCATCTTTGTAATTAATTTAAAATTTAAGCCGAAGGTAAATGTAACTGTTAAAACAAAAATAAATGTGACTGAATGAATTTACATGCAGACCATTTTTTTCATTTACATTAAAACCAAAATCCATGTCATCATTACTTTAATATGTGAAATAGCCTATCCTTAAATGATGCAATTCTTAAGTGATACAAAACCAGAGTCTTAAAAAGTAATGCTCCAACACTGGAGGTTCTTAAGAAGAAATTGGACAACCATTTGTCTGAAATGATTGAGCAGGGGGTTGGACTGGAAGACCTCCAAGGTCCTTTCCAACTGTTATTCTGTAATTTGGTTAATGTTTATTACAGAGTACCTCTGGTTTCGTTAACCTTTCCTTTCAATAAAAGCTGATCTGTTGCAAGGAGTTCCTCTCTGTGGAGTCACAACCTTTAAGACCTTAACCAAATTATACATTTGAATGACACTAAAAAAAATGTATTAAATGATTGGAAAATAATCTTATTAGCTATATTCTATCTTAACTGATTTTAAATGCAAATGAAATGCAATCAAATCTAGTTTTTCTCTTGGCCCCACTATTTTTAGAAAAGTAACCATATGCCTTCCATCCCCCAAAATAAGTGTAGCCCATAGTCCAGAAAATTTTATGCAGCTCTGGAATAAAAATGGCATTTTATCCTTAACATTATTTCGGTTAAAGCTTTTGACTTTAATTGTGAGGAGTATGGCAAACTTTGATACCATTTAAATGAATATATTTTGAAAGAACATTACATTTGAAACAGAGTAATCCATATACGATGAGATCCTTGTTGGATCTGTTGGTTCTTAAATTTGAAATTGGTATGGAGCTGCTTTTAAAAAAAAGCTTATCGCTAAAGACTACAATCTTTACAAGGTACATTGCTGTTAAGAAGTCGGAAAGTCCTTAAAAGATACAAGAACACAAGTAGTGATTGCCTACATTCACCAATATTTTTATTCTTGCATCCATTTTGTTAGCTGTAATGGAACCCATCCACAAGAGTTATGAATTAGAAACAACTTGAAATGTAAAGTAGTTATGTCATCTGAGTAACACACTATACAATCTCTCGCGCAACATCTCAGCATCATGTCGGGTGTGCAAAGTTTAGTACTGCATCGTCTCTTAACAGATGTTTTTCACTAGTTCTTCTGAAGTAGCATTTATTCTACTTCCAATTTAAGATGAAAGGGAGACCTTGTGGAGAAAGAGAAGGAAGGTGATTGGACTGACAAGGGAAGGAGAACGAAAAATTAGTTTAGGGAAATGTTTAATATTCTGTTGCTCCTGACTGATGAACATTACTTTCTTTTTATCATCTTCAAGGTATTGCTGGGACTCAGCATTCTGACTGAGTCTCCTATTCATTGTGCACAGAATTCCTTACAGCCATTATTCAGACAAGTAGGTAGTCTGCATTCTTTCAAATAAAACTGCAGCTTTATGTATAGGGTAATGGCAGCCTGAAGGCAACCAGTTGGCTTTCAAAACTTGTAAAAGTTAAATATATCTTTAATAGTCTTATTAATTTTAAAAAATAACAAGAATTAGTACCAGATGCTTAGAGGGTAACTCTTCCCCTGTTAAATCCTGAGTGGGAAGTTCGAGATGGCGTTTGGTTTCATTTATGAACAGCCTACTTAATATAGGAATTAATGTGTGAAATCTGAGCTACAATCTGCAACAATTGTTTTCGCTGCACATGTTAATATTCAGGTAATGAAAATTCTAGAGCTGTTGAAAGAAGCTGAAAAAAATAACTGTTAAAAACATCCTGGAACATGTCTACAGGAAATCAACTTCACAACTCTGTCAAAAGGGGAAAAAAAAATATCCCCAGACATTGCACAACTAGTTACATCTTCCAATATATATTGAACCCACACAATGGCTGGGTTCAACTGTTCAAATAACATCTTTATCTGGTTAATTTAGAGTAAGGTGTTATATAAAAACACCAACCTTCTACTGTTCTAGAAATTAACCTAGAAGTAATCAATGTTATTCTAAAACAAGGCAGGACAAGAAGCAACGGATGGAAACTGATCAAGGAGAGAAGCAACCTAGAACTAAGGAGAAACTTCCTGACAGTGAGAACAATTAACCAGTGGAACAACCTGCCTCCAGAAGTGGTGGATGCTCCAACACTGGAAGTGTTTAAGAAGAGACTGGACAGCCATTTGTCCGAAATGGTATAGGGTTTCCTGCCTGAGCAGGGGGTTGGATTAGATGACCTCCAAGGTCCCTTCCAACTACTACTACTACTACTACTACTACTACTACTACTACTACTACTACTACTAATTATTATTATTATTATTATTATTATTATTAACAACTTGGGACTTTTTGGAGCTAAACTGACTCTTCATGCCTCAAGCTATGTCATCTGAACAAGGTAGGAGCCTGAGTCTGTCCTTTCTACTTCCAAACACCAATAGTTTATCAGCTGGCTTCGTTGGGACTCACAAGGACTCCGACTGCCAGTTCAGTGGGTCATCAATTATCAAGTACCATCAGCACAGGGGATAAATCATCTTACCAAGGGAGCAGCTTGATCAGGGAAGTCATACAAATCTAATCCCCAAGGAGTCTTTATGATGCATTGATGCATCTAACAGCCTACATTCAATCAGGTTCCAAGTTGGCTTCCACCTAAGAATTTTGACAGTCCCCTCTATGACTGAATGAAAGCTATAAACCTGATACTCACTGTACTAACTAGGTCATAATGTGATTTCGTTAATTTTGGCACAGCTTGTTACATAAATTCAGCCATCGTTTACAAATATTTTATGGCTTTGCCCATTAGTTACTTATTATGATTATTTATATCCTGTCTTTCAGTACAGTCTTCCCAAAACAATTTTAAATGAAGACAAAGACATTTATAGAATCCTTCATAGCATAAGAGCCTGAGGAAAGGGAGAATATAAGTTGTGGAAATTTGGCAAATTATGGTTTATTCAATAAACATGAGTAAACAAACTATAGCTTAGGGCATTAGCCCATTTCAATTTGCTCAATAATATTCATAATTAAAAAGTACAGAAGCTGATGCTGGAGTGAAGTAACCCTCAGTAATTCTCCCGCTATTATTATTTTAATTTGCTAAGCATTTTATAGAAAGTTTTTAATAAGCCAGATCGTTTCACCAGCAATGCATGAATAATTTGCAAAGCAGGAAATATAAACCATATGTCTGTATGGCCCTTTCCTCCATGCTCACCATTTTTTTAGCCACACGCCCATGAATCAAAATTCAAAACTTTATACTTGTGCAGGCATAGATCTGTGACTGCATCAAAAGCAATTCAGACAGCACTTGAAATGCCTTTAGCATATACAAGAGATTGACCAAGTATGCAGGCTAACTATGCAGCCTGCGATACGGCTGAAGATTGACAAGATTTATTTTTGAAGTGTTCCTGCTTTGCTGGCTATTGTCAATTTCTCCTTTAAGCAAAGCGTTTCAAGCTATTATCTGCCTACAAGTCACTTCAACCATGTTTTCTGGCAGCTTGTGCAAAATTATTCATCTTTTTGATGAACTAGCAGTTTTTAAACTTAAAAGTCACAGCAAGGGCCTCTTGGTTGGTGGAATATTGGTAACAGTATGTTGGTTTGCAAGGTAGTTCCTAGATTAGGGATCCTTTTAAAAACAAAACAAAAAACAAAACAAAAAAAACAGCATCAACACAGATAGAATAAAACTGGATTTTGGTGGGTCTAGTGGATGTGCTGGCCAAGATGTCCAAAAATCTGTGATTCAATTCAATTTGATTCAGAATTCCCTGAGAATTAAAAGAGGTCATTGAATTTTGCCAGGATGCTCCTGACAATAAAAGACAGTTAAAGTTACTGAATTAAAATTTATAGTTTATTAAGATACCAATCCCATAAATTTCTACAAACTTCCTGAACCTCTTGCAGATCAGAATGCTACTGCTGATAAATAAGCATTTTAAAAGCTAAAATCACCAGAATTCTAAGTGATTCTGCTCACCATAAGATCCAGGAGTTTGCAGGCTTATACTTATTATTTCAATAACTAGAAGTGTTAATATCTATACCCATTTCTATACTAATTGCTGAGATTTCTGAAGAGATACTCACCTGCCATATCAATGGCGAAAGGCCTACCTGCCCGCCAACCAGTGTACCAGCCAACAACTTTGCCTTTTTCCACAATTGGGCGCTCGTAGCGTCGGCCCCCCACTAGCCCTACGGGCCATACAGAGACTTTGCGAGTTGTACGCATCTAAAGGAAGAAAGCAGAATATCTTTTTCAAAACAGGTTTTTTACAAAGAAAGAATAGTCACAATTTTTAATGACAGGTTCTAAGTACCATCACCTTCCTTACTTAATGCCTTCCAGATACATTCTAACTATGAAGTTTCCCAGCTCTGTTTCAGAAAAACATTATAACCACAAGCCTTTCTCTAAACCAATCTTTCTCAAGCTTAGCTACTTTTAAGATGTGGCAGCACCCCAACTGGGTAATTTCTGAGCGTTCAAGTCCACACATCTTCAAGTTGGCAAGATTCAGAAATGCTGTTCTAAACCTAATTAGCACTACCAACAATTCTGATCTTAGGCAAATGAGTAGCTGCAGTTAGTTGCAAAAAGAAGTAAAGGCTTCAGAGCAGGGGGCGTCCAACCTTAGCAACTTTAAGACTTGTGGACTTCAACTCCCAGAATTCCCTAGCCAGCCATCTTAAAGTTGCCAAGGTTGGACACCCGTGCTTTAGTTTAGAGGATGACTAGAAGAGTCAAGTAGTCAAGCACAATGCTTGGGCAGCTTGTTCTGAAGGGCTAAATTGTTAGATTTATTGCAGTCATTCTAGCGTGATCAGATGTTTTTGGAAATCACATTTATATGACTTAGATCTACAGAGGGAAAGTTCAACTTTACTAAATAAAGGATGTGATATCTATTCTGAAAGGTATATCATATCTAAAATGATCATAAGATCTAGTTTCACCAGGCTAGAAACTGGGAGACCGAGAGTTCCAGTATCACCTTAGACACGAAGTCAGTTGGGTGATTCTGGGCCAGTCACTTTTTCTCAGCCCAAGGAAAGAGGCAAGTGCAAACCAGTCCTAGAAAAAACTTGCCAAGAAAAGTGCAGACTCTGACAATTGACATAACTGAATGGAAGAAAGAAAAAAAAGATAACATTCTCTTTTTTCATAGAATGAGGGGAGATCATTGTAAACTTTTATATTCACAAAATAATAAAGCGTAATCATTGGCATGAACCTTGGAGATCATTAAGTCTAATCCAGGGGTCTTCAAACATGGCAACTTTTAGGACTTGTGGACTTCAACTCCCAGAATTCCTCAGCCAGCTGGCTGAGGAATTCTGGGAGTTGAAGTCCACAAGTCTTAAAAGTTGCCATGTTTGAAGACCCCTGGTCTAATTCTTTGCCAGTGCAAGATTCATTTTAAAAACCATATCATTAAAGGATTATGCCAACAATGTGTGTCTAGATGTCTTCAAGAGGACTACGTTTTGTCATAAACCAGTGAGTCATATAGAAGAGCACCAACAAATATCCCAGAAGACAACAGCAAAACTTTCCAATAAAACTGTCAAGAAAATTACATAGACATGAAGTCAATTCAAAAGAGACATTTTTTTAAAGGTTAGTAAACAGATAATTCTTTGTATTAAATATTTAAGATGTAAACACTATGCCTTGGAAGTATTATTGCCACCAAGGCATTATAAAACATTATGCTGGCCTCTTGTACTTAATAAAATGCAAGAATACGAGCATTTGGGTAAACCTCTCATGCATTATTTAATCTTCCTCGAAAACCAATTTGGTACGGAGCTTTATAAACATAAAAAAAAGAGCACCGTTAAAAAAAGAACCCTGAAAAATCAAAATCTGGTTTATTAACAAATTGAAAAGAAAAGTATATTCTGTTTCAGCTGATTTTATAAAACGTAGATTTCTCTCTTAGCTCTTAATGCTTGTTCAGTTTTCAATCTCCCAATGTACAGCCATTCTCTTCATTCATTGTGAACACAGACACACTTTCCTGCAGGCCTGTGTGTATAACAAATACATAGTAGATTATAATAAACATGTCTATGAAAACCTTGAACCAAAGAGCCATCTGCTCATTCAGTTTTTAAACAAAACACCTTTTTAGGTCCCTCTGGCTGGCTTCTATTTTTCTCTCTTGTTTTGTGTGATATTTTCTCCCAGGATTGAAAGCATGAATGGTTCTTCTTCAGATGGAGCGCTGGACTCTTTCTGAAGGAAGAGTCACATAAAAATGAACAAATGACAAACCAATTACTGTTACCTTTTGGCTCCTTTGTCATTCGAAAAGTAGCTTCCCTTAATTCAAAAGCAATTATTTTCGACAATTCAGGCAACTGCTAATCTTTACTCGCCTGTTGCTTTCGTATCACTTACTATAGGTAGTCCTTGACTAACAACCATTCTTAACAACAATCAGAAATTACAACGGCACTGAAAAAAGTCTTATGACCAATCCTTGCATTTATGACCATTGCAACATCCCCATAGTCTTGTGATCAAAATTCAATTGTTTGGCAACTGGCATGTACTTACAACAGTGGCAACGTCCTTGGGTCATGACCTTCCTAGGGGGCTTCTAACAAGCAAAGTCAATGGGGGAGATCGGACTCACTTAATGACTATACCAAACAACTGCAGCCAAAAAAAGGTTGTAAAAATAGGCATGACTCAGTAATGCATCTCTTAGCAATGGAAATTCCAGTTCCAATTGTGGTCATAAGTCAAGGACTACCAATATACTATAGAATGGTGCAACTCTTAATAGAAAACTCAGCATCAAGAGCACCATGACTTCATAGTATAGTGTCCAGATGATTTTGAAGTTTAAGCATATTTAACAAATATGCCAGAAGGTGTACAGTGTCTTCTTATCCATTATAGAATTCCTTCACTAGCTAAACTTACTGATTCACTGCCTGCCTCCCATCTCAGCTTCCACTTGTGCGTACGAAGTATAACTCCTAGACTTTGAACTGAAGATAAAGCAGGATGACATGCACAGTGGCCTTATTTTCAGTCAAATGTCTTTTCTACATAAAAACAGTGATTGATGAAGGTGAAGCATCACTGCCACTGCTCCAATCAGACTTTCAGGATGTAGCCACACAGTGCCCTAAGTCATTTGATGGCATTTGTGAGGGTTATTTGCAAGAATTCATTAGATATGATCGGCTCCTGTAACAAGATTTGTCTGTCTGGATGAATGGGGATTATCTGGTACAATACAACATGGCACATTACCCTTACAGGGCCTTTACAGATCCATATCCAGCAAGGGCCAAACATGAGAAGATCCATTCATATTTTTATAGTTTAAGAATCATGCAGAAATTATCTATTCGTTTTAAATGTGAGGGTAGTCTGAGGAGGACCTATTTCATTTATTCTCTGGAGAATATTTTATCTAGTATATTTCTAAAATGTTGCCTGATATTTTTCTTGTCAATGAAAATGAATAAAGCATCTCATCATTTGTATGTTTTTAAAAACACAGCCGTCATATTACTTCAGCATAAAAAAAAATCACTGAGCAGCAATGCATAACTCATCTTAAGATACTTAAGTTGCACGTACTTACAAAGGGAGACAGTAAAAATGAAGCCATACTGGATGCCAGCATGACTTATAATAGAATTGTTCCCACCAATCTAGAGATAAAAGGAAGACGACAGGGCCACACATGGTCTGTGCAGGGGAATATGGGCCCAGGAGGAAGTTATATCAAAGAGACATCAGGAATAGTATTAAAGAAAACTGAGACATGTGCTTGGGATTACCACACACCCTCTTGGGAGTCAGGCAATGTACAAAATGAATAATAAATGTTAAGAGTTAGCACATACTGTATGCCCGGCTTCCTGACTTTCCCTTGGTTTAACTTGCAAGACCATCATCAATCATTCAGGCCTGATTGGAAGGAAAGAACATCTTAAATTCTTCTTAGGGTGATAGCTATTAAAACTGCTTAGAAATAGATTTGGAGTTTATCCAGTTTTTGTTAATTCTGTAGAGAGTTATGGGGGGGGGGAAGGGGTAACATTTGGATTACAGCCTGAAACAGTGTGCCCAGCGTGTATACTTGTTGTATCACTGTGTAATAAAGCCACGTTACATACTCTATCTCAACAATGCACTTCGGGATTCTATATACTGTACAAGTGCTGCAAAAGAGTACAGGAAGTCTTTGGGTTATGATCCTACTTGGGCCTGGAATTATGGTCACTAAATGAAGTGGCTGGTAAGTGAAGCATCACCTGTTGTGCTACTTAGCCACAGCAGTTCTGGCAGTCCCTGGTTGCGGTTATTAAGTGAGCACCAGGTGGCCATTAGGTGAGGCTCACATGTGACTGTGACTTGCAACCTCCTGATGGCTTCCACTTTGACCTTGCTTGTTGGAGGCTTACTGGGAAACTTTCAAATGGTGATCACGTCTCCCAGAAGCTCCCTACACCAATCCGAACCATCCTCAGCTTAGTCTCTCCCACCCAGGACCCTCAGTCCTTCAAAGGCAAGAGATGCTTTCAGAGGACCACTGAGTGTAATGTTATGTGGGAATGTGAGAATGACCTTCTGTGGTCCTCACTAACACTTAACAATGGCACCCAGGACTGCTAGAAGGGCCATCACTAAATAATGTGACCGTCTGACATTGTGCTGCATCACATCAAGAGCAATTCAGGTCCCTTTATTGAAAATGCCTTTCTCTTTGATTATAAATGATGTACAAGATGCCATGATGCAAGTAGTCAAGCAATATAATGAGGAAATTAAAGATATCTGGATGAAGAAATTGGAAGAAATGGTGGCATTTATTCTCCAGAGGTTTATAGCAGAGGTTGAAGAAGATGTTATGGAAATACTTCAAAATGAGCAAAATTGTGGAGATTTGGAAATTGATAAGTCTGAGAAGCTGGGAAAGGAAGTGGTAATAGA